TCCTTCGGGAACCCGTGCATTCTGGTCTCTCGCCAAGGCTGTCCAAGGGAATTTCTGTAAGCCATCACTACCATCTCTGCACAGGGAGGATGACTCACTGACCCATGACGCAAAAGACAAAGCCGACCTTTTAGGCTCCCTTTTTGCGTCCAACTCGACTCTTGATGACGGGGGGAAAACACCGCCGACCATCCCGCGGTGTGAGTGCTCCATGCCGGATGTGCTGTTCTCACAGCGCTCGGTTCGCAAAGCACTGCTCTCCCTGGACATCCAGAAGTCGAGTGGGCCTGACGGAATCCCCCCAATTGTGCTGAGGACGTGTGCTCCGGAGTTGGCACCGGTCCTAACGCGTCTTTTCCGGTACTCCTACTCCCAAGGCGTAGTCCCGAATTCATGGAAGACAGCTTTTGTCCACCCGATCCCTAAAAAAGGCGACCGCTCAGACCCATCCAACTGTAGGCCTATCGCGATTACCTCCTTGTTCTCCAAAATAATGGAATCCATTATTAACTGCCAGCTCATCCGGTACCTTGAGGATCACCAGCTGATTAGTGACCGCCAATACGGTTTTCGTCGGGGTCGATCAGCTGGTGATCTTCTGGTCTACCTGACCCATAGATGGGCGGAGGCAGTAGAGTCCAAGGAGGAGGCGTTGGCCGTTAGTCTGGACATTGCGAAGGCCTTCGATCGGGTTTGGCACAAAGCGCTTCTTTCGAAGCTCCCTTCCTATGGGCTTCCCGAGAAATTGTGCAATTGGATCACCAGCTTCCTTGTAGATCGGAGCATCAAGGTCGTTGTAGACGGTGCATGCTCTGACTACAAGCCTATTAACGCTGGTGTTCCATAAGGCTGTGTGCTATCACCAACGCTGTTTCTTCTGCATATCAATGATATGTTGCTAACTGGTAACATTCATTGCTATGCGGATGACAGCACTGGTGATGCTCTATACACCGGCCGTGCCAATATTTCTCGGGAAAACGTCGCTGAGTACCGGAACAAACTTGTGTCTGAAGTCGAGTCTTTGCTGAACAAAGTCTCGGATTGGAGGCGACTAAATCTAGTCCAATTTAATCCTCAAAAGACACAAGTTTGCGCGTTTACCGCTAAAAAGAACCCCTTTGTCGTATCTCCTCAGTTTCAAGGCACTCCCCTTCTTGCCTCAGCCAGTATCGGTATCCTCGGAGTCGACATATCGAGTGACGTGCAGTTTCGTGGTCACTTGGAAGAGAAGGCCAAATTGGCCTCTAAAAAGCTTGGCGTGCTCAGCAGAGCGGGACAGTATTTCATGCCGGCACACCGCCTGCTACTTTACAAGGCGCAAGTTCGGCCTCACATGGAATACTGTTCCCATCTCTGGGCAGGGGCTCCCCAGTGCCAGCTCCTTCCACTTGACCGCATCCAACGCAGAGCGGCTCGAATTGTCGACGACCGAGCCCTTTCCGATCGGCTAGATTCATTGGCACTGCGAAGAGATGTTGCATCCCTTTGCATTTTCTTTCGCATCTACCATGGGGAGTGCTCTGAGGAATTGTTCGGATTAATCCCAGCCGCCAAATTTCACGAACGCACATCGCGGCAGAACTCCAAATACCATCCACACCATCTGGATGATTGGCGGTCCACCACTGTGCGATTTAGAAGATGTTTTCTTCCTCGCATGACCTCCTTGTGGAATCGATTACCATCAGCGATTTTTCCGGACCGATACGACTTAGGGACCTTCAAGAAAAGAGCGTACTCCTTTTTAAAAGGCCGGCAACGCATCTGCGATTCCCCTGGTGTTGCAGTTGTTCATGGGCGGCGGTAGTCACTTACCATCAGGTGAGCCGCATGCTCGTTTGCCCCCTCTCATATAAAAAAAAAACGTACATTGGTGGACCGCAAAACATCCAAATGCTCTGGATGGTATCGGGAGTTTTGCCACGATGTGCTTTCGTAAAATTTGGTGACTTAGATTAATCAGAACAATTCCTCAGAGCACTTCCCATGGTTGATGCGAAAGAAAATGCAAAGGGATGCAACATCTCTACGCAGTGCCAGTAAATCGAGCCGATGAGAGAGGACTCGGTCGTCGACGATTCGAGCCGCTCTCCGCTGGATGCGGTCAAGTGGAAGGAGCTAGCACTGGGGAGCCCCAGCCCAGAGATGGGAACAGTATTCACAGTATTCACAGTAACAGTTGCAGGCGGTGTGCCAGCATAAAATACTACCCCGCTCTGCTGAGCATACCAAGCCTTTTAAAAGCCAATTTGACCTTCTCTTCCAAGTGACCACGAAACTATACATCATTTCATATGTCGACGCCGAGAATTCCAATACTGGCTGAGGCAACAAGAAAAGTGGCTTAAAACTGTGGAGATACGTCAAAGGGGTTCTTTTCAACGGTAAACGCGCAAACTTGTGTCTTCTAGGAATCACACTGGAATAGATTTAGTCGCCCCCAATTCAAGACTTTTTTTTAGCAAAGACTCGACTTTAGACACAAGTTTGTTTCGGTACTTGGCGATAGAAATGTCGCACTATTGTTTTTAAATTGATATTTGATATTATAGGTGACAAACCAGGGCACAGTCCATCGGAGATGGTAAGGGGATGCTGTAGCCCATAAACATTTACATCTATCCCCGCCTATGAAAAAATGCATTCTGGTTGTCACCCTTAAAGAATTTGATGAATTGCCTCATTTCCAGTAAAAGTGGTCACCAGGTTTTCTACACTCACCATACGAACCATAATAGTATATTTCATATGGTCAGTGTTTTTTGTCCTTTGTCTTTAAAATTGATATGGAATATAAAAAACAAAATTCCTAGAATTCAAATTGAGTAAAAGAAATATTACCTTACGCAATTTAGAAACTAAGCGATAACTTGAGACATTCTCACGTGTTTGGACAGTTTGTACAAACGAGGAGCGGAGTATTAACTTATCAAATGAAATATTGAAATTTAATAACTTTCAGCGTGTCTATAAAGTTTTGGGACGTGATTAAAACTTATGTAGTAATAGTATATTAAAAATATAGAAATTATATCTTAACAATTACTGTCACATTACGCTGACATGAATATTGAAATAATATGATAAATTATTTTTGGACCAGTATACAGAAACTCATATTTACTTCAACTTATTTATGAAACTCCAAGTTGTCTGTTTAAATGATTCTGATGTCTAAATACACCTAGGAGTCTTGCAGTATTAGCATGAACATTTAATTTTGGTGCAATTTATACAGAATGAGCATGCAGTTCCTTTTAAAATCTTGCGGTGTAATGCTTGCGTTTGGATTTGGATTCCAATTAAAAGTTCTCATTTTATCATCTTATTTACTGAAGTTAAAATTGTTTTAAAAACGGTAGCCTTCGGTTTTTATGGTGGGTAAAATTATAATCCAGGTTGTCACTTTATTTAGTGACGAACCGCCCTATATTCCACTTTTTTTTTATAGGAAAGGGTGACAAACGAGCACACAGTCCACCTGATGGTAAGTAGTTGCTGTGTCCCATAGACATCTACATTTATCCTCGTTTGCGAATCAAAATGCAGATGCGTTGTCACCCGTGAGGACTAAAATGGAATGCCTCTTTTCCAGTAAAAAGGGTCTCCGGTTCTCTACACTCACCATACGAAACACAGCAGCATTAAGCTGCTATTTTACGCTGGTATTCTGTAAGAGCGTGGTCCTTCACCGGTCGAACCGACCCATTCGTGCTACAACTATACTGTTAATATAGCTGCAGCATGGCTCTACCACGTTTATGTAAACTTACACTTATTGTAAATACTTCCGAAACGGATTATTAATATAGAAAAATATCTACCGATTGCACTTATTTATATCCTGTAATTGAACACTCACCTGCGTAATTTCTGAGCTGCTCGACATTTACCGGGCCTGGTGTGGTGTATTTTCTGGCCAAATGTGTCCACTATTGTTCTTTTATTCACATGTCAGGTATGGAAAACTTCGTTACTATTCCATGGAGCAGGGCAATGAGATGTTATCTACTGTTGGTAACCAAAAGCGCACGTAATGTGTACCGTCAAAAGCGTTAGTGCTTGCGTTGACGAGGAAGTTGGCCGTTACTAGCGGTCGTTGCGGGTGTTGTTAAAAAAAGGGTTGCTCGCTTCAAAGTTAAAGAGTGCTTGCCAGTAAGAAAAAAATATTTATTCGAAATGTTATGCGTAAGAGGAAATGTTTTCCTTTCAAATTGCACTATTTCTAGTGATAAAATTATACCGAAACATTAATGAAAAAAAAAAAAGAAAAAGATATCAAATACGGAACATGCCGCTCACCTTAAAAGTACGCAGTATCTTTTAATTAAATCTAAACAAATCTGTAATACAAACTAGCTTTTGTTAAAAAAATGTGTAAGGAGTATAAACAAAGTTAAATCTAGTAAATATCAAACTATATCTTAAGATTACTGATAAATATTTAAAGTTATTTCTAAAGAAAATAAAATAAGGAATATGAATCATTATTTACGTTTATTATTCTATAGAAAGTAGACAAATTTTATTAACTGGTCGCTTAAAATATGTTTTCCCAGTTTGGAGAGTTACAACACGCGTAATCCTATCAGAGCCTGGATGCAGACGGTGTACACGCTACAACTATACTACTAATATAGCCGCAGCATGGCTCTACCACGTATAAAAATAAACATATGGTTTGGGAGATAGGTGAGGAAATATTAGACCAGGTGATGCAGCATTGGGACGAGTTTTCCATCATGTCCCACGACAGAGATGGGAATAATTTTAACACTTCTGCTGACTACTATGCTGAAATATCTCAAATTTATACATTTGGTGGTTTATGAGAATTAGTGGCTGCTGGGCAGATTTTCTCTTGTGTCTTAGAGGTTTATCATAATGTTATTTTATACGAGAAATTTGGTGGAGAAGGAAACCCCGTACATACATTACGCTTTAGTACTTGGAATGATTTCTCTAATGGACATTTCAACGTTTACCTTCCCGTAGATATGTCGAATTCAGTTTCGATTTCTCAAATTGAAAGTTCTTCTACTTCTGAGAAAAAAAAGCATCGCCGTGCTAGATATACTAATAAAACTAGAAAAAAACAGCTCAAAAATGCCAGTACTAAGTACAAGAAGTGTAATCCAGATGTTCATCATAGCGCTGTCCTAGCTTAGCAACGCAAAAATCCAGTGACTTACCAGCAAATCAATCTTTAGTCTCACCGTACTGCTGTCATGACTTACCAGCAAAATAACCCTGAGTCTCACCGTGTTGCAGTCATAACTTACCAGCAAAATAACATTGACTCTCACCGTTCTGCGGTGGCAAATTATCAACACAGTAATCTAGAAATTCATAGAGCAGCTGTTTTTAGGCATGAAAGGAATAATCCAGGAATATGACCAGAAAGACGATTACGTTCATAGAAAGTAAAAGCTATATCTTAGCTGATGTATAATGCTGAGGTAGCTTATGAAACTGATAAAATGGTTATTTTGGTGCTATGAATCAAAAATGTATATAAGCTTAGCTTTCAAGTGGAAAAAAGAGGCCCCTGGCATGTGCTGCGCCGATTTTAAAGTGAAGTTTCCTGCTTGTGAGCACTTGCCAGAACCTCTTTATAGATTGATTGTGGATTTCGTTCAGAGCATGTACATTTCATAGAAAGTATTAGAAATTATAATGGCTGCTTTCAAATGACAATAAAAAATAATAGAAGATGGTTATGTGCCCACTTTTAAAGTGCAATAGCAAGTTTATCATTTGGTTGTTAACCTATTAACTTTACTTAAACAAGAGCCAAAATTTCTGCAAATATATTTCATTAGTGAGGACGAAACGGTAGGAAGTTTAACATGTAACAATTTTCCTGATGTAAAACCAAATCTGGTTAAACAGTTACAAGCAATGTTACATGACAATAACTCCTATACAAGGGACCTAAAAATTATATATTGAATATTGAATAAAAAAGTTCCTGTTTCTGTTTCTGTTACAAAGTCACGATACTCGTAACAAGTTAAGTCGTATCAGTGAATTAAACCGCTCATAAGAGAACTTGCAATACCCACTAATTTTCTATAATGATGAGGATGGTTACTCTATTGATATACATCAACATGATCCTAAGACAAGAAAATCTCTTCAGAAAACTGTATCGGCACTAAATTTTTCTTCTTACCGCATGATGATCAGACAAGTAGACGAAAATCGGTTGCTGTCTATCGTAATCTTTTTAGTCAATATTTAGTTGTTACTTACGCAAAAATTGAAACAGAAAGATTAAATTACATCAGGAACAACCAAGCGCATATCAGGGTAGATAGTTATGTACATTTGATAGATGCAATAAGGAGGCGGGACACCAATATTGCTCTACTTGGTCAGATGGTAGTACTACCTTCGTCTTTTACTGGATCACCTCGATATATGTACGAAAAGTCTACAGTTATCTACGTCCGACTTTACGATCGCCCTGATCTTTTTATTACACTAACATGCAATCCTCAATTACATCATATTGCAGAAGCCTGGTTGACCTGACTTGAATATTATTGGCACTATTCAAAAATCTAAATTTGTGTGGAAACATTCGCTGATATAAGCATTCTGACGAATGGCAGGAGCCAGGTCTACCTCATATCCATATTTTACTGTGGCTAGAGAAGTGCATTTCTCGTGCCGATTTAAATAACCCCATATGTGCCAAAATACCGGATCCTGAAGAAGATCCCAACCTTTATAAAATTATCAAAGCCAATATGATCCGTGGGCCTTGCATAAATTTAAACAACAAATCTCCTTAAATGAAAGGTGGTATTTCTGGCAAAAAAGTACCCTCGAACTCTTATGAAAGAAACTTTCACAGATGAAGACGGTTACCCTAAATACAGGAAAAGAGGTCCCATAAACGGTGGTTTCACGGTTGACATCAATGTTTTAACCCTAGACAACCGACGGGTGGTACTTTATAATCTAGTTTTATCTTTAACTTTTGCCGCTCATATAAACATAGAATTTCGTAGATCCGTAAAATCAAATAAGTATATATGTAAATATGTGAATAAAGATCCGACCAGGCGTCATATGTTCTTCAAAATGATAATGATGAAGTAAAATGATACGAAAGTGATCGCTATATAAGCAGTTCTTAAGCTGTCTGGAGAATTCAGGCGTTTCCCATTGACGAAAGATTTCCTGCAATTTTTCATCTTGCAGTGTATTTGGAAAATGACCAGCGTGAGTACTTCAATTCCAATACCAACATTATGGCTAACAAAGTAAACAACCCACAAAAACTACACATAACATTTTTGATCTTAGAAAAACGAATAATTTTGCAAAAACTATACTTTATGTTGAAATGCCTTCTTACTTTGTGTTGAAAAGTAACAAATTTGAAAGGCAGAAACGTGAAAGCAACGTCAATGGTTGGCCGGAAGTAAAAAAAGGATCAAACTCTGGGCAGAGTGTATACAGTACACCCTAATAACTCTGAATTTTATTATCTCCCTTTTCTTCATCGTGAAACTGGAAGGTAAATATCACTCACAGATTTAAAAACTGTTGATGATGTCATATATCCTACATACCACTCAGCGTGTATAGCTCTAGGTTTGCTTGAGGATAATGAACACTGGGATGCCACTATGGAAGAAGCTGCTCTGTGTGATAGTCCTTTTAAATTGCATTATCTATTCTCACATTTATTAATATTCTGTCGACTAACAGAAGCATCCAGTCTATGGGGGAAGTACAAATACAGTCTGTCAGAGGATATAAAGCGTCAAGTTTAATCAGATTTGCAAGAGAATATTCTTCATATAATGTATTAAGTTTACAATAGTTGTCTTATTTATATAGAGGATATTGTGTTGTCCTTAGGTGGGCAGCGTTTAGATAACTATGGTTTGCTTCAACCTTTAAGACACGGAGATGTGATACGAAATAGAGAGTATAACAGATAGATAAGCTATGATATATATTTATTCGTAGAAGTAGTATCTAAAAGAGAAAAAGCGTTAACCAAACATTTTCAAATTTATAAACAAGTTTTACACAATATAGAGAACGGCACTGGCAGTTTTTGGATGCTCCTGGAACCACAAGCAAAACTTTTCTTTTAAATTTATTATTAGCCAAGGTAAGGAAAAATCATGGAATAGCTTTGGCAGTTTGCTCTTTCGGTATTGCAGCGATGTTGATGGATTGTGGTAAGACAGCCCATTCTACATTTAAATTGCCCTTAAATTTGATGAATGTGAAACTCAAAGGGGTATTCTAATGGTATTAAGTATTCGTGATTATGAACACTGTCTTCTCTTGAGCACATACGGTAATTACTTTAGCCTTTAAGGATATTTAAAACTCGACGGGATAACACAACATTACTGCATCATCAACTTGTAATAAATACTTGCATACGTTTTATATAGCCTCTATATAGGTAGGCCTTTTGCAGCGCGAAAATTTCATAATCTCATAAAAAATCAGAAATTGTACGCGGACGTAATTACAATTTCTGATTTCCGTGCGTACGGACGGACGCACCTTTATTTATTTCTCTACTCATTTATTACCATGAAGGTTTTCTTTTTCTTTCGCTTCAAAATTACATTATTTCTAATTAGATTCTTAGAATTTCTTGTTATTGTATGCCGAGCAGCTTACAACTTCGCTTAGTCATCCCACTACGCTAGATATTTTTTTTACCGAAATAATTTTTGTTATGTGAAGGTTATTTTATACCGGTATCGGTGAATTTTAACCGCTTTCAGTCTACCTTTAAAAATTAAAAAAAAAACGTTTAAAATCCATATCAATATTTTATACCGGTAGCGTAACCTCATAATTTAGCCGAAATCAAGCCATGCACGAAACTGTATAACTTCAAAAGTTTACTGATTTTTACCATGATAGTTCGAAAATAAAATTGTTTTATTTATATATTCAAAAACCTTTTAGTGGGAATAAGCTGAACCTGCATTTTGTTAATACAAAATGTATAAAATCCCAATAATCGCTGGGGAAGTAACTACCCATAAAATTAAACCATTTTCCCCAAGAAACAGATCAGAAAGTTGTATTTTCGAGAATATTAGTTCATATTATGTTCGTTGAAATGCCATAACTTTGCAAATAAAATAGAACTGTAAATGTAGAGAGCGTAAGAGTATAAATAGCAGTTTGTTATTTTTTGGTAAAGAAAAGGATGCCGTTATGGTAACATAGCATGTGCAAAAGAGAAGAGACATAATAATAGACTACTTAATACATCATGCCGTTACACTAGTCTACGGAGTACGTATATCGACTATGTCTAGCCATAGACGAAATCTTGGAGTTTAAATTTAAGCGTTTGCAAAACCAAGTTGACGCGTAAACTAGTTGATAAATTTAACTAGTTGAGCAATTAGTTGATGAAAGATAATGGACGGTCTAGGTTTGTTAACGACAAATATGTCGACGTCCCATCGCTAGTAGCGTTTCACGTGGAAGTGATGCGAGAGATCACTATCGCCGTTGGGTTGATTTATTTATTTTAGTTGCAGAACAATATATACAATTTTCTCCTGAGAATATATATTTTAAAATAATGTTAATAAGAACTAAACATGTAGCTGCTTATATAAAAATAAAACAGTCATTATGTACTCAGTGTCATCGTTTTTATTTCAACAGCAAACATTTAAAACTTATTTTCAAACATTTTCTTCTCCCTGGCTCACTATGGCTATCTTTCATAAAATGTATTTTTTATTTTGTTTTAATGTATTTCTAACACATATAATATTATACACATTTCAGCTTCGTGCACTCCTTCTTCTATATAAACTTTAAGTATTTAAAATCTCACACTTCCCGTGAGCTTTAAAAAGGTGTACAAAGTTTTTCCTTTATCAAAAAAAAACGTTATTTACTTAATCTAATACACAATGTTTTGTAAATGGAGCATATTATATTACTAACCCATTCTTTAAATATTAACGTGGCCATATAAACTAGCCACCTGATTGCAAGTAACTCCTGCAGCCCATACTCAAATAATTATAGACTAGTGATGAAATTAAGACACACACAAAACTTTTGTATACTTATTAAAAAGTGACATATAAGCTAGCCACCTGATGCAAGTGGGTTAACCAACATAAAGAAAGAAATGTGAATGTCTCACAGTCGGTAATTTCATATTTCCTCTTACACGTTAAAGGGTACTCTTGATACACTGATGTTTTGCAACTAAAAAAGATAACAAGAGAAAGATTGAGAATTGAGATTTTCCTTGGTATTATTTATTACTTGAGAAACTTACCCGGAAACCTTTCCGCGTACTTGTAAGGATAAAGGATTACTTGAGTATCTTACTCTCTAAGTATCTTGTATTATGTTACACCATAGTTTT